TGACAAGTAGCACACTGCGGGTGTGACCGGTCAGCAGGAGATGCTCACTCCTCCATGGCACCTGATCCCACCTCTGATGTTTCGGAGGTCCGTGTTTGCTTTGCTCCTATTTTGTATTGTTTTATGGAAATTTAGATTGAATATTGTTCGTTATCTCCTATATCCTTCCATTAATGATCAAAATACATGTAGAATCAGTTTTATAAATCTTGTTTTTGATTGCAAGTTGAAGTAAACGTAAGAAATTCAGAAGTTTATATCCAGACAATACAAATCAGGAGCAGAGCAAACACGAACTACATTAAAAATCAGATGTTGAATCAAGTGCCATGGGGGAATAAGTTTCCCCTGCCAACAAGTACATTTTTGCGTTGTTTCATCTGAATGGGCTTTGTAATGTTCTAAATAATGCAGATTCTGAATAAATAATTTAATGCACATTATGTAATAAACGGGCTTAAACAATACAATAATGGTAATTATAAGAATAATTGTATTCCATTCAAATTTAAATTGCTCTCCTACTATTTTTCCATTCAAACTGTAGTCTCAAAAGGAATATATTTTCAGAGAAACATATGGAGATCTCACTTACTATGAAAATTAACTAGACGTATGCCTCCTTAACAACTAACCTTGCAGAGGTATAAAGTAACATTTAAATCGTCTTTTATGGTGCACGCCTTATGCTTTTCATTCATTGAGAAAAGCTAAAGATTAACCAATGTCAAGGTCGCACAATTTTGTTTACAACCCAAATATCACTTAATAATGCTGATTTTTCAATTAACATAACAATATTTTATCTTTGATAAATCTCGTATTTATGATGAGCTCACGTCGACGACATAAGATACATGACTATGAATTCGACATTCTGGCTTTTGCTGGGAGATTAAGGCCCTCAATGTTATCAGTTTAACTGAATATCAATGTGTTTAAGGGCCTTTATTGTCTCCCACTATTTCCTGGCTGTCTTCAGTCAGGGGTGTTCGACTATGCAAACGATGAAGATTTGCATCTTAATGTTGGTTTTATCTTGTTGCCTGTATTTTACACAGACATTTATCATAAATAATTTATTGTTAGTCATATAATTCTGTGTCAGTATTTAATTCATTAACCGATATTAATTCATTTATAGTAACTAATGACGATACCTCTGACCTGCCAATAGCTCAGATAATCCCAATTTTTAACCATTTACCCTGGTAGTTTCTTGGTTGAGCTGTGGCTTCATCTATTCTAGGTTGCAACAGTTAACACACTTCTCCTTGCACACTGCACTGTGTTGCACTCTTTCTTTTCAAGATTTTTGAATAAAAATTAAGAATCAGTTTACTTCATTTGAGCCTTGTTTATTACCCAGTGCTTTGTGGTCCCAGGCTTAAAAACCATAAAATAATGAATGAATATTCAATACTAATCTGCTTTTCAATTTTGAATGCATATGAATTTCAATGTTTTGGGGTGCACAATTCACGTTCACAAACAGGATGATAAAGATTTATGGCAAAAGCTTTTGATGGCGATCTTGAATACATACATGGTAATAAACATCCATACGTCATTTGGATGTTGCATTTGATAGATAACATTTAACAATGCGATGAACTTTATATATTTATAATAAAATATATTAAAATAGTGCCAGTATTTTGTCAAACATTAAAAAATTGAAAGAAATAACATGAACGATATATTTTGTCAAACATCAATAAATTGAAAGAAATAACATGCAAATAAATTCATTGTCTGTGAATCATTTGGTTTATTTGATGCCTATGCTGTGTTTATTAATGGAGAACGGCATTATTCTTCAACATTTATAAATTGAAAGAAATACTATATATGTATGATTAATCATTTTTTGTGGATTATACTTGGTTTAAATTTTTGTTCTGAACGTCAGTTTTTCATTGTTTAAAACAAAAGGATTGGAAATCATAGGTTTTTTTTTTAAAATTACCAATTCCTAGAAACTAAAGAAAATGATATAAAGTACACTGTACATGTATATATGAATGTGAGATTCTCCAGACAATGAACAATATATGCTATTTTTATGAACAACTTCAACGTTTTATATAAGGTATGAAATGGCTCAACCCAGATTGTATATAATTATTTAATCTTAATTTTTTATCTTGAGTAGTTATTAAATCATACGTAGAAAAATTAATCCTTTGTATCAGGGTCTTTAATTATAAACGTTTGCCAAAAATAGCTGGTTGTAACTCATTTTGAGTCCCTTTCTCTAAGCAGCTATCCCGTATAGTAAAACTCATTTAAAAGTCCTCAAAAATAGGAACATGCATACTTTAATGAAATGATTTATGACTCGATGACCGAAGATACCTATTAGAATGTAATTGCTTTTATCGATATAATTTGTACTTTATGCTTCACACACAACAATATCCATTGATTTACCTCCCCATGATCCACCCCTTTTATATAGGTCATACGTTTAATGTACTTTTGTACATAATTTGTTTAGAAATTGATAAGCATTTTTCAATATTTTTAGCACAAAAATTAAGCAAGTCGCATTTTTATTACACACAATTTTTGAATTATAGTTCGCTCGACTCCTCCGTACCATTTGTAAATTACAAATTTATGATAATTATTTTTTTCAAGCTAGTCACCCTTTATGCATCTTTTGTAGAGAAATTTGTCTCAATAGGACATTTACTTATCGAAAATTTTGCCTCTCGAACATCTGTACCATTTCAAGTTAGTAAATGAAAGAGTAACAAAAAAACCCAATCCGATAAGATCCAGTGGGTATGGAAGCAGAAGACCATTGCATATCAATATCAATAATGCTTGCAGAAAACAACGATAAAGGGGTACAAAAGAAAACATTTGTTATTGAAGAGCAAAAAAAAAAAAAATGCAATGATTGGTATAGTGCATATGGTACTTTTCAATTTATACGCAAGAAACTTTACTTTACCTTTACTTTATGTCTTTGTTTCAGTTACTACTTGTTCTTTCCAAATGGATATTTTCAGCTGTTAACAGCTAATTTCATCTGTCTATTTGTCACTTCATTAGAGTTGAATATTATTGCTTTTTATAGTATTTTTTTTTTAAAATAAGCCTATGGATTACTTAATAGTTTATTAAGTAATTGATGATAATTTTTATTTTAAAAAATACTACATGTATAAGAAGCAATAATTTTTAACTGTAATGAAGAATGGGACATAATTGTTGTTATCGTGAATGCCAAGGTCGCGCAAAGGTTATTTTTGTGTAAACTTGAGAAAAACCCTTTGCATATGAGAATTAAATCGCGAATATTTATCGCCACGGAGCACATATCTTGTTTTGCATTAGAAGAGAATGGTTCCCAAGTCGCGAAACTTAATCGTCGCAAATTGATTTCAAAATGACAAATCGCGAATAAAAGATGACGCAAATAATATTTTGCTTTAACGTTTTTGTATAAATTTAATTTTTTGCGGATTTCCTTGTTTTTGACAGGGGCACATCGTGGGTATGTCCAGTTGTCAGAGGATTATTTATTCTCTATTGCACCTGATCCAAATTGTGATATATTTTAGCTCATTTATCATTTTACAATGTTCTTTATCATTCCATGTAAATTCGATGGTCGACACCGTACCCTGAAGCTCTATTGTGAAGTTGATTCGACAAATCCATCTGAACTCGAAATCAAGACACCACAAAGTATTTGTTTCATATTTTGATATCTTAAAAGAAGACGTTTATGGTAATAAAACATTAGATTAACGTGATAATTTTCACTTTTCTATTGCCTATTAATCACCTACGTATACAGTATATACCTCCCAGTCGATTAGATATGATAGAACATGGTCTCAAACAAGGAAAAGAATTAACCGAGTTGATGATACAAGGACATCAACAGTCTCATATGAAAATCAACATTTTGCAAATTCGATGGTCGACACCGTAGCGTGAACTTGTCAGCAAACACAATCTATTGTAAAGCTGGATGTTGACGTCCTTCAGAAAAGTTAATCGCGGCCATTATTTTCAAACTGAATTGTCTCTTTTCTGTTTGTCCAATCTTGACAAGGAGCACACGGCGGGAGTGAACCTTCAACAGGGATTGCGTTTTTCCTCCACGGCATCCGATTCCTATCTCTAATTTATTTAGTGGTCAGTGGTTTTTTAGGCTCTACTGCAAAAATGCATTGTTTCAATGGACATTTTGAGTTTCTTTACTGTTTTTCAATTTTATATATATATAAAGAAAGTATTTCTAAATGTTAATATTTTATTTTTAAAAATTAAGAAATAACCATCCTTGTTCTTCAGTCGGAAAATCTGGCTTTGGATGATTCATATTTGTAAATTGGGGGAAATTTTCAAAGAATTTGTTAAAAGATTAAATTTCTTAAATTTTTTTAGCTATTGATAATCCACTGAAAGAAACATTTGTACGAGTGATATATAGTCATAACTTTGTTACAAACTTTTTAATACAATGAAGATTGTGGATAAAGGTCACCATAAAATGAATCAAATTGAAAAAGGAAGTGATATATGTACATGTACGTATCATTGAAAGATTGTAAATGTGACTACAGAAAAATAAGTTATTTATGTTAAGATAACCTTTCTGAATTAATGATAACATAATAAAAAGTTTATTTATTACTAGTCTTAAAGAAAACGATTCTAACATTATCTTGGATTTCCGAGATTAATAAAAGTGTCAAACAGTCAACAACCAATGACAAAATAGTTTAAAGAAAGTGATATTAGTCTTTAGTATTAAACATTTATGATTATATTGGCAAACTACCATTGTTTGTTTCATAAAGAATCATTGTAATTTTAGACATGCCTGTTAAAATATATCTTTTATGATGAATAAATAAATATAAAAGCAGGATTAAGAGTTTCTCCACGCTCATTGAACTAACTACACGTTAAACTGCAAATTATGTGTGTGGTTTTGAAAATTAAATTTTGTGCCTCTTGATCATTCAACAAATATATGTTAGAACGTATTCAATTGCCATATAAAACATCGGAGATGTAAAAGTTGGCCTGGTTTACGAATTCAATTCTGAAGTGAAATACACCTCGGCAATCACTAGTGTGCGCGGTTACAAGTGACAAGTGATGCGTTAAATGGTAGGATATCTATTTAAGATGGAAATTATCACCGTATAATCCATTCCATATACCAGCATGAAAACTCTGAAGAGAAAAAACATCATGATTTAGAGAATAATTTGTCTATTTCTTTTTAAGTATTACCATTACAGTGCTATTTAACAATATGACTGAAACAATTAATATTCGTTATTGTTGGATAATTTACACAGTTTTCTTTTGGAATTTAATCAGCATTTTAAAAACTGGTAAGACTATATTATCTGTTATATTCAACTAAATCTTTCTTACTATGCATTTACTGTCAGTGTACCTAATTAATTTTTGTTAAAAACTGTATTAAGTTACTATCAGATATAGGTATAAAATAGAAAAAAGAGAAAAGTTGTCAAAGTTCAGAAAGTGTCAATTTGAAAAGGTGTGTGATCGACAAACAGGTGTTCATTTTTGTAGTATACATCAACCCAAAAATGTGTAACTCTATCTATACGACCATTTGACCGGTCGTGAGCTTTTGTCATAGTTAACACCTTGTGGTATGAACAAAACAAAAAAAAAACTTTCCTTATGCCGTTGACAGTCAGTCTTTTTTTTCAAATGTGTGATTTTTACTATAATTAAAGCTAAAAGTAACATATCTACTTTGAAATTTATCCTGATCTTTCATTTTGTAAACTTAGAATGAAATTGTCGATATATACGATCAGACAACTATATGTTTAGGTTAGGAATAAAAACTTATTGAGGAAGGAAAACTTGAAAAATAAAAGTAAATCATCAAATTGAACTTTCCGCCGAAACATGACTGAAATATTGCCGTCTCGGCGTTAAACAATAATCAAACAATAAATCAAATAAACTTTGTAACAATAAGACTCAACTTTGGTAATTGCATCTAAATTATTTCCTGTTACCCTAAATAAGGCTTTATCAGTGCATCAAGCGTAATTCTGAAGATACAAAATGAAATTCAATCTAGTCGGAGTCAAAATTCAAAAAAACGTTATAAATAGAGTGTATACAAAGAGATTTCACATAAATTACATATTATCACTTGCCATTATCTGCACTAGATCTAGTAAAAGAAGGGCATTTTATCCCTAGATCAGCCATAAAATATTCTGACATTATGTCGGTCACAAATACATATTAAGAGCAATTTTGGGGAGAAGTGTTGTCAAAATTACTTGCTCCTTTATCTATCGTTGTAAAATTGTTCTAAGACGTGTGTATTTTTTAAAACAAATATTAGAGAATTTTCATATTTACTTCGTTTTATGTTGCATATGTCAGTTTTCGTAATTTTTTCTTTCATAATAATTATATCTACTCTCGGCAAATTTTATTCACGAATGTGAAAAGATAGAAGCAATAAATCAGCGAGTTTAATGGTTTTCAATATTCATAAATGAAAATAAAGATATAATGAATTCAAATGACAAAAATACTTTTAACATTCTAATTTGTAGAAATATGTTATTTTGTTCAAGCTTGAATATGTTATTTAAAACCAATTACGTTACAATGTTAATTCCAAAAGCATATATGCATGAATGTATCCCCCCGACAAAACAGATACATGCATGTAAGTGATATTGGAAATAAAAAAAATTGTTCCCCTCTAGATCATAATCTCATAAAAACTTCTCATATCTCTTAAAAACTCTATCGTGTGAAAGTGCACTATATATAGAAACAATGCAATTATTTAGGAGAACACATCAATATTTTTATTTTACTTTCAATGTTGTATGTGTTGCAGTCCAGTCATGTAATTTCCCCACGAAGTGGAAAGATAATGTCTTCAGAGATTCTACAAGTGCGACAGTAAAAGAGAACATCCATTTCTATAGCTCTACTGTAGTATGGCAAACAAATATATTCGGAACGAATATAGCCATTTGGAATTGCCACGATAGCAGTAGTCAAGAAATAGTAATGATAGGGTGAGTATATAGTGCATCATATCGCATTGTGTGTGTTAAAACTTTGAATTATACTATGTGTTATACTAATTTCTAAATTGATACTTGATATATGTTTTTAAAATACCAAAAACCCTTTTTTAAAGTAGTGTTTCCATTTTGTAGTTTTATAGTTATAGATGTTATAGTTGTTTTCTGAATTATTGTCTTAAATTGCGTATATTGCAAAAAATATTTTTTATTCTAATATTGTGAAATAGGATTTAGGAATCAATTATAACTTTATAAGGGAGCAAATTATTTCGTTTATCTTTTGCAGTTATTTGAAAATATCATTATTATTTATACATGTTTTGCATTTATAACAAATTTAATGACCCTGTTCTTAAGGCATATCCTACATGTCAAAATTAAAGTAATGCAACGTTAAAATTATTTTGTTGACAAAGACAAAGGGTCTTAAACGCAAATTTACAACAAATTTTATAGAATTTGATTCACATTTTAAAGTTAGTTATGGAAGTTGCCAATCAAAAAACTAATGTTAATTTCTTTTTCAGAACTAATACTGTGACGCACAACTCACAAACATACTATGCCTACCAATGCTTGCTATATACGGAAACAAGCAACGCGACATTTTACTACTTCCCAGTAAAAAGTAAGTACTGGTTAATGACTAGCTGTATACATCACTTTTGCTCGCGTTACACTTCAGCATTTTTTTTTATCTTGATTGTATTAATTATATTTCATAATTTTTTTTTAGTAAATTGACTATTGTATTCCATTTAATTAACTATTTTCTCAAGCTATTATTGATTAAATTTATTTCAAGGATCTCAACAACGACAATGACCATTTGATTTTCTTTATTTTAATATTTTTTCCATTCAAGAAGTATATTTACATGTAGTTCAAACCACGGTTTTTGAAAGGACCGTCTTGATTCTTCTATTTTATCTCACAGATATCACTGACGGCAATAGGGTGCTTTTATCCACAAACCCAAGCCTGACAGTGTGTGATGTTTGTTCTTCAATTGAACCTGAACTACATATTATGTCATTACAGTGTAAGTCAATTTCTCCGAAGGATTTGGCTAATTACGGTGATCTTCATTCAAACCAAACAGTCTTTTGATAAAGCCTTTAGAAAAGTCACAAATACAGGTTCATAACCTACACACTCGTTGGCAATTTTACATATTATATTTTTTACCTTACAGCCGTACTTCGATAAAGAGCATCTTATACCTTGCGATGTTGATATTTTTTTTTTAGTTTGAAATAACCCAAAAAGTAGCTATTATGATTGCAAATTGCAAGGAATCTTCTTTTCTATGAAAGTATTCGAAAAGAAATGAATTATTTAAATCTTTTATTCTGTACTTGTTCAGCCGATGGTAATTGTAACTGCACACCATCCTGTTCAGAATTGACGACAACAGGTTCATGTTCACAATCAATAGACCTGTCTCAAGTTCAGTGTGCATCAGCATTAACCACAGTAACAACAGGACAACAAGGAGGCACAACAGCCTCAGATAAAAAACAACAGACAGGGACGGTGTTTACCGTGGAAGTGATTGTTATTTTGTGTGCTAGTCTTTTTGTGTTGTGTTTGATCCTTGTAACTTCAACTGTTGCCATAGTTATATATAACAGAAACGAACAACTGAAGAGAAGATTATCAAAGATACGAAAAGTAAGACCCGTAGAACACGTTTAGTGGTCTTTTTGGTGTGGGTGTTTTGACTATGTGTAATTTTGTGAAGGGAATAATAAAATGTGCTATACATAAACCATTCTGTTGTACCTTATCTTGAAAAGAATATAGAAGAACAAAAAATGGATGAAAATAAATACATGTATTAATTTCTAGCACCATTATATGAGGCGTGTTATCATGGGCCCAAACAGAATTGATCAAAATAGAAAAAAAATAACAATAGGTAGTTTTGATCACCATTTTGTTCGTTTCTTATTGTCAGTAGTGCAGTAAAATGGTCTACTTTTTCAACAATGGTATCGCTTTCGTTTATAATTGAACTCTTCTGATACCTGCTTGTTATATAACAACGATATCACTTTCATTATGCATTTGAAGTATTTAATACATGCATGAAGACCCCGTGAGGTACAGCTATCAGGTGTTACGCATTAGTGGTATCAATTACATCCCAATTGTTTCTTGATTTATGCATAATGAATATATTCTATTTACGTTGCAAAACAGAGTTTTAAAGTTGTCAAAACAAAATCAGACTCGTGATTTAGCAAAATTCATTTTCCCGCTTGTAAAAAATTAAAACCTCCTCGTTATATAACCTGATTATAATGCAAATTGAAAACAGACGACCACACAAAGCGCGCAAACGTATGGATCTGTTTTGGCTCCGAACAGTTCATTCATAAAAGACTCCAGTATCATCAGATGAAAGATAACTGGAGGGTAAAAACGGTCTTTAGCAGTGTATATATTAATAGGCAAATAAGGTGTTATCAATGAGGAGGATTACAAAGCCATAACTGTCTCTTGATTTATAGATTATCTGCTCTTTAATAATCATTTTAGCGCGATGTTTAAGCTTAGAATAGATTAGTGTTAGCCTTGTTTAATACAAATGTTAGTGGTAAGCGCCACATTGACGACGGACTTCCGGTTCTCGCCTTGAATGAATTAGTGAGTAACAGGACGTGGTGTTGGCTATACTAAATAATCGTATGCTAATTAACTGGGAGTCTTCACATTAGCATTTTGTGTACTTTACATTTAATAAATAAAACTTTTAAGTGCAACGTTGTCCTAGAAGGAAGATGCTTTCTTGCCTGCTCTTGCCTGACTCATGAAGATAATTTAGTAGGTAGGCAGGACATTTTTTTAATTATATACACTTGCAAGTATATAATAGAACTAGGAAAATTTAAAATGAATAAAAAAGTTATTAGGGCCTTTCACTTATTTGGGCAAGAGAAAAAAAAGAGGTTTATCAAGAAGTCGGCTTACATGTACATTGCAATAGCAATGTAGAAACTCACACAATAAAATTTCTTTAAAAATGTAAACTCCACCACTACAATAAATTCAACATTTCTACATGAGAAGAACTGGTTGATTTTTTTACCTTTTGAGGAGATATGACAATTTTTTAAACTTTGCATTTTTAAAAATGGTGTTACAAGTTTATAGATAGGTTTCCAGGCAATCATTACTCATGTCTCATAAAAGTATGGTTTGGATAATGAGTTAATGTTTTCCATAAATAGATGAAGCATATGGAGATAACGAACAGAATTCAAGATCAAAGTCCATAAAACAATACAAAACAGGAGCAAATCAAACACGGACCTGCAAAACATCAGAGGTGGGATCAGGTGCAATAGAGGAGTAAGCATCCCCTGCCGACCGGTAACCCGCGCCGTGTGTTCTTTGTCACGATCGGGAAATAAAGGAAAAGTCCGTCGTCAATTCAGTATATACATAATAGATTAACAATTAGTATGAAAGCGTCAGTTAGCATTTCACTCAGTTATAAATTGTGATTGATCGAATCAACTGAGAGATATAAACTCCGTTTGCAGGCGATGAAGGTATATTGTTGTATAAATAAGGGAAGTTGACGATTGTAAGTTTAAAGTCATCACGTTTATCATAGAGCTTGGTTGTAAGATTACCATTAATGTCTTTTTCAAGTAAAATATTAAGTAAAACATCCAAAAATACATGGTGTCATAACTATATTTGATCACAATTGTCGAAAAGATTCCATATATTCTCAATTATAACGACATCTCGATTACCTGTAATACCACGCAACATTCTTGTCATGTTTTTAAAGAATACAAAAATTAATAAAACTCAGTTTACATGCCACAAATTGTCCACCCTATCAATGCAAATTATAAAGGTGTATCAACCCCGAAGAGGAATTCCATAATTGGACCTCACATCTTTGATATGAAATTAACCAATATTTGACAGGAGATTATATGTTAGCTTTAAGCAAGAAAGGAAATCCGATAGTAGTATTTGACGCCACGGATGTGACATCCTAACGAGTCAATAAAAGAACGATCAGTTACTGACATGGCATGCAGAAACTTTTTTATATACTATAATGGAATTTTTAAAGAAAAAAAACCAGATCTTGGCCGTCAAAGTTGGTTTTCATTTTTCAAAATTTTGCATTGTAATATCAGTTTGAACTCTTTTGAAAATAACATTGGCAGCTATTATTGAACTAGCATTTTAAACATTTTTTGCACTCTTTGTGTATTAGAGTTAGGACTTCCTTTGTGTATTAGAACAAGCACGTTTACAAAATTTCTTAAGTTAAAAATAAAAAGAATACAAAATCAATGTGTGGACAGCTATTTCAATATCTTTACTCTCTTTCTTACATCAATTCAATATTCATTTTGTTGAAATCATCATACATTAGTAAAAAGTCATGAATACATTAAACAATTAACATGCATTAAATTATCTGATTTCACTAAATGCAGGCATGTGTACTAACAGATACAATGTATGTTTGTTAATTATACGAAGGCATTTAAGAAAACGTTGCATACTCTTCTAGTAATTTTTACTTGGAAGATTAAAAATATCAATGAAGGGTTTTTCTTCAACTCATAAACTTAAATATATATTTACATTGATCATAATAAAGACAATTAAGGAAAAAAAAGAGTTCAATAAAAGGTTATCAAGAGAGGAATACAAGTTCTTCTCTAAGAATATGTGGCCTTGAGTATCTCCAATTCAGTATGTAGTGTACATGTATGAGTACATGACTAATTCTTAGTTTTGATAGAATTGCTTTTTTTTTTTAGAACTATTGGTAATTATAGGTCGTTTTGCGATTCATTTTCATTCAAATTTATTTTATAACTACAAAAATAAATATAACAATATTTGATTTCGAAATATTCTTTTATTGTACACAAAAGCGATTATCGATACACTGTAATGATCCTCTAAATTACATCTTTTTGTTCGATGTGATATGTCCAATGAACTTAAGACAGTATCTGTATTAGAGTAAGAACTCTTTTCTTTGCTAAGACATTTGAGACACCAGTATTTTATCCTCATTAAATACAGACATGACTAATAGGTCATTATAACTATTCTCTGACTCTGCATATTTCATTTCATTAAAATCTAAATATATTATGTTTATAATTAAAAAAATAGATGTATTCAACCCATCTCTTCTAGAACAGAAATATACCAGTGTTTTTAAATTGTTTTATTTGTATTTTAGAAAATAATTTGAGAAAACACTGTGATAATTTGTAGTTTGCAATCCAAACTTCAGAACCATAAATTAAGATTGGAAAATCAATATTAATAAAAAATTAAGTACTATCTCAATAAAAAAAAATAAATCTCATTCCTATATAGAGCTCTTTCTTACAGTGGTTCTGTTGAAAAATTCATTTTCCCATTAGATCAAAAAAGAGGTCCCATATAATTATAGCTATCTCTATTTTGAAAACTATATTTTTGCCCAGTGGTGCTATCTTAATTGATGAAATTTTAGAAGTGTTTAAGCTTTTTGATAATTGGAGGACGCAGGGAAATTTTGCCAAAAAATAAAATAAAAGTTATGGCAGAGATGAATCTTTCACGTGCGTTCGCGGGACGACGGATGCCAGAGTAATGCTATAAAAGAAAAGATAAATCACTTTAAATGCTGCTGAAGTTATTGAAAGAAAAATGAATGCCAAAAGTTTTGAAAAGTACGGGGTAGACAAAATACGATTCAATAATCAGTATTCAATGGCTAGTACAACAACCATTGAATTTATGAAATGCTGACCTTATTCGAGGTTGTTTAAATCTTTGTTACAACTTAACTAATTTGGCAATAGCCTGCATTGGTTTAAGAATAAATCGTACTCGGAACATGCTCTTGAGTATTGAATAAGCTGGGAGATATAAACATAAGCATGTGATATTTTGATGTAACGACATAAATAAGGGAAAATGACACGGGAAAAGTTAATTTCATCTCGTTTATTATAAAGTTTAGTCATTAGCTAGCCCTTATCGTCAGTAGAAGGTAAAAATCTAATAAGTGAGAGAAATTGACGATTAAAAAGTTGAATCTTAACGTAAATCATAAGGTTTTGTGTTAAGTAACATTTACCATTCACGCCTTTTTTAAATTAAAATGTCCAAATAAGAAACATGTGCCAGACTCTGTGGTATATTTATTTTTTCAAAATCACTGGGATATATCGTGTTGACAAATGCATGGAAGGATATATTGTTAATTGATTTTACGTCATCGATGTTTCTTAGTGTCGAGTTGAAGGTCACAGCAAGTGTTTTCGCAAGCTCATGTATAAGAAGCTCGACTTTTTTTTCTTTTTGAAACCTTTTGTGCGAAAATATGCTGGAATCAACATAAAAAACTTGCTGCGTTTCTATACATGTATTATCAGCTCTACGTTCGCTTTATTACAAAGTCTATATGATTTGAGTGAAAAATTCTCAAATAGGACGTTATACATTATACAATCACTCAATCAACTTGTCGATATTAATCAAGAAAAAAAAAATAATTCTATGATTCAGAGCATGTTTCAACACCTCAACCTTGAAATGATCGTTGAGAATATAATAAGACCTTATATAAAAAAAAGTACTACTAGTATATAGTTTCCAAAACATATAGGAGATATATATTTTATTTGTGAAGGTTTTGGTTTAAATTTATATTGATTATGGATAAAAAACAAAAACATTTCTTTCATAAATCAGCAATATTTTT